AGGCACGTGTTTGTATCTCATCGGTCGGATTGGTTTAAGCGGCCCTTCCTTTACCATACCCGTTGCCGACTGATCTGAAATTTTTTAGACAATTTTACAATCGCCGCCGACCGAACTTTCAATTGAAACCGACCATTACACTTCAATTCAGTTCAGGCCGATCAGTTTGATCAGACTAATCGATTTGGTGCACACCCCTAATTCTATTCCATACCCCAACTTTTTTTAGTCAATACTCAATTGCATATAGTATGTGAAAAGAGGGTTGTCTAGTTCATAGTACTGTTGGGGTCTGTGAAATTTATTAGTGCATGTCTTGTTTTAACGATTTAAGCTATTTATATTTATGAGTATATTATTTATAAAAGAAAATAAATTGATTCAATATTTATAACTACATAGATATTTTGACACGTCAACCCCTGTCATTGTTTTAGTATAATTGGAATAATGAGCTAATTTCAAATATTTATAAATTAGTGCCCACTAAATTTGACAAAGCTCTATGTAGCATCAAAATCATACTATAATAATGCTAATAAATTTCCAACCTAAGTATGGAACCATTCTATTCCATATCCCAACTTTTTTTAGTCAATACACATTTGCATAGTATGTGAGAAGAGAATTGTCTAGTTCATAGTATTGTTGGAATGTGTGAAATTTATTAGTACATATCTCATTTTAAGATTTGAGCTATTTATATTTAATTTTATGAGTATATTATTTATAAAAGAAAATAAATTGATTCAGTATTTATAACTATATAGATATTATATTTTTTTTCAGATAAATGTGATAGCTAAAATTATTATTATCAATTTGATTTTTTTATAAATGAATTACAAATAAAATAAGTACTTTAGATCATTAAATTAGACTAGTAATAGATTTTATGAGCACTTGCGAGCCAAAAAAAAATGTTTTCCCTTTCTTATATTTTCATTGCGGATAAAAACTAGTTTCACACCATATTGAGTTAGACACCTTACTTCTAAATAAATAGGCACACCAATAATTCAAGGGTCATGCTAATGACGTCAAGATTGATTACTTTCTTCTTTTTTTTAATATCTTTTTTGTTTATTTTAATTACGGGTCAATGTAGACCACTGACACTTCGGTTCATGAGCGTGATCTTAGCTCTGAAATTCAAAACAAATAAAATCAAGAAATCGATATTAATTTTTTAAAGCATCACCTGAATTCTTGAAGAAAATCTACGAATGTTAATTCAGAAAATCTGTGGATGATCCATGCAATGAACATGATAAAATTGGAAGAGCTTAGACCCATACCAACCCCGTTTTTTAAATGGCAAGCTTAATCATCCTTATCAGTTTCAACTTTTGTGATTTATTTGTTTTTAAAAAATTAATAGATATGATGGCAAAATAGTTATTTCACTATGTTTGAATTTTTATTAACTATTAAAAAATTATTAGTTAACGCAACATAAAATTTTAATTTTGTCTTCATCGTAGAATCAACTTTATTTTCTTTAATCGACAAAAGAAGCTACCACTTAAGTGTAGAATATTTTAAAATTCAAACTTCACATCATCATAATGCTTGAATTATTGGTGATATATTAATCTTATAAAAGGATGGTCTTCTAAGAAATATATTAAATATCTTAAATTTTGGAGACTATTGAATTTTAACCAGTATAATTCATCTAAAAACTAATAAATAAACATTTTATATTTTGGACAAGTCTACGCTACTTTAGTCCAACTATTATCATTTTGTTTGTAGTATTATTAAATTATATATCTTGGTACAATTAATAATTCTTTTGACTAAAGTTTATAAGTTGAATTCTTGAACCATGTATGAACTAGATGAGTTTTATAAAAATAATTTAAAATTAAAAGGTTTAGTAAAAAGAAGGGAGCTTTATTAGAAAATTCTTTTTCAAGTATTTGTATCTCAATTAGTTCATAAGATATTCTTGTATTCTAATAAATCCATTATTTGAACATTTGATCTACTAAATCATAATTCTCATCTTTAAGATATTTTATGAACTGACTCTTACAAATATTTTTTAAACAGTTAGCAATTTGGTGATGTGGACATTCATATTTTATAATGTGAATATTCACATTAACGTGTGAATGTTCACATTGATAGTGTAAACATTCACATTGATATATTAACATTCATATTGACAATGTGAACATTCACATCACGAAACATTCGCACTGTAAATGTGAATATTATTAGGGTATTTTAGTAACTATGTTACTCATAGAACTTATTGAAATATAAGAAAATAATGTGGACTAAATGGAATATAAGTAGGTAAAAATGGATTTATGAAAAAGTGCCCCTAAAAAGAAATTATCTAAATAAGTACGCTTTTTAACTTTTTATAAAAAGATATATAAAAAAATAAAAAAGTGATATGACTCAAAAAAGATTTTAAAAAATGTATTTATATAACAAACCCCAAACAAAAAATACAATTCAATACAATCCTTTATAAGGAGATAATCAAAATTTGTCTCTAGCCGGGTTTGATCCCTAACCTCAAATATTTATTTGCTTTTCATAGTTGCATGTTAGTCTTCGTTTGTCATTGACTTTTGTATTAGATTAAGTGTGACCACACCGTAATGTGATGTGCCTCTCCATACTGAATTAAATCTTGATATAGGTGATCTGGAAACCTTCCCGCAAGGTAATTGAATGATCTGGGAACAAAAATAGTGTGTTTGAATTTGAACACTAAAAGACACAATGCTTCACATCATATTTGAAGCATTGTGATCATTGCCAAACAAGTGGTGACTCTTAGCAATAGTAGCCAAGATACTTATAAATAGTTGACATATTGGGTTTACTAAATTGCATTGAAAATCAACATACATTCACACCATGTTTTGTCTCCGGATTATCAATTCCATTTTGCGTGATAAATATCCTCACGGAATCACCGATCACTTAGCCATTGATTGTTCATCTTTCAGTTTTGTAGTTGGCTTTTTTGTATTGGAGCCTTTTTAACCTTGTTTAGTTTGACTTTTTGATTTTTATGTAAGAAAAAATATAATAATTATAATTTAAATGTGATATTTTATTTTAATAACTTAGATAACCAATTTTGTCTTTTTATATTTTTTCTTAACCAAAAATCTAAAAGATGGTGTGCTTTTGTTATAGACAACAAGTTTAGTACAGTACCTGCTGAGTTAAAAAATAAATAAATAAATAAATAATTTACAGTACGCAAGTATGTGAGTCATGACAATGATAATTTATGACTGTAACGTGACTGTCACAAATATATATACCGTAAATAATTTTTGTGCCTAGACTCATCGATAATTGGTACAGTTATGACAATGGTATCTTACTTTGCCTGATTGTGGAGTCCCCCCTTGATGATGATGAAGATTTTTTTTATCAAAAATTTCTATTTAATTGCCCCCTTTCCAATAAATAAAAATAAAACTAAAAATAAAAATTACCAAATCAATGTTCATTTAAAATCTATTTTCTAAATGCAAGTACTTTCTTGTGGAGTTTTTTTTAATCAAATTTATGTTCATTTAAAATTTATTTATTATATTTGAATAGTTTTTGACATAGGTGGACCTATAGGAGCGTTTGGCCCATCACTTAAAGCCCAATATATAATTCAAACACCAAAGTCCAACAGTGCTGGAGCTCAACGTGACATTAAAAATCAATGACATCTAGACAGCTGTCAAGAGTAGAACCAGCCACATCGCCAGACAAAGATCCTGTAAAGTTATTACACCACACATCAGCCATTAATGAGGTTTCCTACAGCATTTATTGCGATAACCCCTCCCCATCAGAACAGAACGGCCTCACCATGAACAAGCCAAGCTAGAACATAGACTTTCGGCCAACGTGACAAGTCGGAAGGGACAAGGAAATGATTAGTAGAGGATATAAGCGGGTTTCGAAGACAAGGCAAAAGGTTAAGCTTCTCTATCACTAATCTATCTCCACATTCCATCTCTCTCTTTCTAACTTGCTCGTCGGAGGGTTCGCTGGGGGACTCCCCGTTTCCCGTTGAACTTTTGTGCAGGTCTCCCCGAGGGTTTGGTATCTCGGGTATCAGTTTGGAAAGCTTAGATTAAACCGACCCATTCCGTCTGGGACACACAGTATCATCAGTTTTAAACTTATTTTTTTAATTATATTATTTCATGAAGTTCATGTTTTTAAAAGTGAAAGAACGACTTCAATAAACAATGTAGATTTGGCAAATAAATTCAAAACTACTTAGATTGAAAATAATTAATTAAAAGTGGATTTAATAAGCAACTTTAATGGTGTGCTTTGTTAGTCAACAATGTATCTCCCCGCCCACTCCAACAAATTATTATTAAAAAAAAAAAAAATCGTATTCTCACAATACATTTCTTCACTATCATGTTTATAATGATCAACTCTATTGAAATTTTGAAAAAAAATTATAAATCAACATGTAATCACCATTATGAGACAACACATCCGGTGCTCTACCACTCTTCAAAAAATTATTCAATATTTTCGGAGTATCACGTGTCTGTACTCCTTAACCAATCATCATTCAATATATCCCTCACATTCTTCAATCACCCAACACAATTTTTCACCTACCCACCTTCTCTACCAATCATAATATTATGAAATACTACGTGTCTATATTCCGGAATTACTATAATTACCTCACTATGAAATGATTGAATTTTCTCTAAAGAAGGGCTACAACTCAAAGGAGTAATGACATATAATCTGAAAATTCTTACATAACAATGTAGTTTAGTGTGAACCATTCACTTCAAAATAAAACAATCATAAAAATAAATTTTATTTACAAAAAATAACATTGTTACATTATTCTGATAGTATTTTATATATATATTTTTTGTATGAATGGAGTTTTCCTCATAATAAAGAATGGTTAAGAACTTCTAAATTTTGCGCGAGCCAAAAACTCATGGACTATTAGTTCCTAATTTGACACCAATTGAGTCAAAATCTTGATTCCACCACTGGCAAGCAATGATCAAAAAATCGAATTACAATTAATCATCACAGACTTAAATGCACATGAAATGAAATATTTTGTTTGTTTATCATGTATCCTCTCTCCTAAAATTATCTAATCTATATCAAAACAGCCTTTCTCAATCAGCAGAGAAATCAGGCTCATCAGGCTTAAACAGCTTTGGCATTGCAGGAGGGCCAACCAATGACACTTTGTGAGCAACCCCTCTTCTAGTATTTGCAGCAAATTTTGAGGCCAAGAATGTAGCACTGAGCTGTTGTACGCTGGTGTCCATTGCTGGGCTTTCACCACCACTATCCTCATAATCGTCACCATTATTGCCCTCTCCATCGGAAAGTTGCATATAATATAAGTTCTCTTGTCTCGACAATTCATCTGCCAACTTCTTCCTTTTTAAGCGCCTCCACGCGGCTTGTATGAAGCAAGCCCCCCAAGTTCTCCATTGGTGGGAATAGTATCGGAAAGCATGTTGTAGTTTCTTGCTATGAAGACGTTTAAATTGGTTTGCGACGAACTTGAGGTCTTCTGCTCGAAGTGCGAATGCTTCGACTTCAGTAAGGGATCGGACGGTTCGGGTTGAGGATGGAAGGTTTAGGTTTGAGGAGGGCATTAAGGCCCACGTTAACAATTCCTCACCACAGAAGTCACCGGGTTTGAGAGTAATGGAGTTGAAGAATCCAGACCGTCCACCATTAGTTGTGGAGCTCTCAAGCTGGCCTCTAATGATGAAAAGCATCTCATTCACTGGATCTCCTTCCCGAACAATGTATGTGTCCTTGGTGCTTAGGGATGAGACGAGACGTTCACATATTGCATCTAGAAGTTGATCATCCATTTGTGAGAAGAAAGGAACCTGCAAAGGAGAAGCAATATGTTCTGTAAACCAGACTTCAAACCGGAAATACTCTCAACAACATTAAACTGCTTGAAATAAATTTTGAGGAAGTATGTCTGCTGATAGCCACTAGAAAGATTTATCATAGTCCAATTTGGTTTTCAGGGATAATTAAATGTGAATGTGAAAATATATAATGCTGGTAAACATTTAACATAATATGCTGGCATTAAGGCAATCAACTTGACTCAAAACCCGGCCAAATAAAATCTAAGTAATGATTCAACTGGGAAGAACACAATTAACATGAGTTTAAAGACCATGAATCTCTAAATAGCAAACAAGAACACATTTTTTTCACCCAAAAAAAATTAAATAAATAAATAATAAAAAAAATTCAAAAACAGGAACATGTTTTAATTACATGGTTTAATAATATAAACTATGGTTAGGCACAAACTGAGGCAAGTTTAGCAGCCTAATCTTACTGGATATGTCAAAAATGTTATGTGAGTAATGCTATACAAACTAACAAATCTTACAATTTTTTCTTACTAACTGATATATCATATATAATAATAGAACTTTAAAAACTGAAACATAATCCACTTTCAATGATATGATAGATGTTCTTACTAACTGATGTGTCATATATAATGATAAAACTTTAAAAATTGAAACAAAACCCACTTCAATGATATGATAGATGCACATAAGTGATAAAGATTTGTTAGTTTGTATAGCATTGTCCACATTAAGCCAGTAGCTAGAATCATCTCACATTCTAAGCTAATTAACCAGAAGGGGAGCTTTGCGCTCTGTTGCCCAAAGTTGGAAGAGGGCAATATGTTGCATCTTCTAGAAGTGCTCATTTTAAGTTTTCAAAAAAAAAAAAGAAAAAGGAAAAGAAGTTCAGTTGTTTATTCCAGGAATCAGTTCAATAGTTATCAAACTGCATCTTGGACTCTAAGCGGATTTTCTAGGTGTTTTTTCAATTTTTTTTTGGGGTCTTTAGTGAACTTTTTCAAATTTGATTATTTAAAAAAAAAAATTGAAGGGGCTTTTAGTCTAGAAGCACCTAAAGGGTTATAAAAATTGACAAAAAATGAAAAAGTTCACTAAAAAAAAAATAATGCCAAAAAAGTATTTTGGTCAAACCATACCAGAAACAGGTAGTTGAAGCTATCTACTGAAATTGCATCAAGATGCAACCTTTTGAGATAGACATATGTTGTATGCTTCTACCATGATCTCAGTACTCTAAACAATCTACAGCAAGTTGTCCAACCCTTGAGTGAAGACAAGAAGAAAACTCCATTACTTTGCTTTGAAATTTGGACACTTCTCATAATTGAAATAAGTTGCATATTAAATGACAACCACACATAATAGAATACCCAAAAGAAACCTTACACGGCGAACAAGGGCAAGACAGAGATGCCTTTGGATTTGACGTCGGAGGTCCAAGGGCAAAGCCTGCAATATTTCTTCTTCATCTACTCCTCTTGTAGCAAGCCATTTATATTGAACAAAACGACGAACACGGTCTTGAAGATCTGGAGGTAATTGTCGGTGCCTCATCCATTCCTCTGTATCTCTTCGTTTCACCCTCCATTCTTCAAGTCTTGCTGTTGTAGAAGCCAGATAGGTCTTCACATAACATAAATATATATAAAAAAATAAAATCAAAATCCAAATACTTTCACCTTCTTCAATCACACAATGTCACGAGCAAAGAAACATCCGAAACTTAGCAAGACAACTTGTTTTAAAGTAGCTATCCCCACTTTTCTTTCCACAAAGAAATCACAAGGCAAACTTGCAAAAAATGCAATTTCTTTAACCTTACTTCTAGTTTGAGAAGTTAATTATTTGGATTGGAATTTTTTTTTCATCCTAGTTATTTTCGTACAAGGAGAATTTCAGAACACCTGTCCTATAATATTTAATTTTCTCACATTTTGCATCTGGGTAAGGCTCATGGCAGAATCAACTCCAATCATATCAAAGTATGGTGGTACAAGAAAGGCATACTAGATAGTACCTGCATGTTGCCAATAAGTTGTGCGAACAAAACTAAACCCGCAACACAAATAAGAATGCTAAATAGCGTTTCACCAACATAAAGGCTTGTGTTCAAACTCTGTCCATATGAACTGTAAATCATGAATTGAGGAGTGAAAATTGTATTAGCAATAATATTGGAAATGACATTTCTGGTGGATGGTGGTGGCAAGTGGGTGGCGTCTTTTGCCAGACAGAACTCATGGGGAATATCACACAGTATCAACAGTGCAAAGGAATGAAAATTACTCACCACTTCAGCCCCATCATGAGTGAACTCAAGGAAAGACCCAACTGCCCTGGCAACATGATTAAAATTCAATGTGCCGCAAATTAGTTGTTAGCATCCATGCCAAAATATCTCTCACGCCAAAAAATCAAAAGAAATTTGGAACAATTTTTTTCAATCGGCTTACTTAAGTGCAGCAACTCTGACCCGGTTACTAGTCTCATCTTGTAGGCACTTCAATAAAAGAGTTTGTAAGTCTGCAAAATGTGGTCGAAATGAATTCCCAATCGTTTCAGTTAAAGAGCTGAAAAGGATCAATGCCACCTTGCATCACAGAGAGAGATTATCTGTTAGCCCTTTATATCCTCCACAGAGTACCAATGTGAGTAACTGGTGAAAATGGAAAGGAATGAGAGCACTACATAATAGTAATTCAAAAAACATAATGATGACACTGAGATTAGACCTCTCTTCTCCATTTGAGGGGTTCAGCAAAACCAGACCATATATGATATATATTTGATATATATCACTCTCTCTCTATATCTCACTCTCTCTCTTTATTTATGTGTGTTTGAGGGCCTAAAAGGGTGATTTGTTCTTAGTTTTGCACTAACACACACACTATTACACCATGCTTCGACTTGGGAGGCTTTGAGAGGTTGTTCTTGGAGTTTTGGGCTGGTTTTGATTAGAAGTTCTTGAAGTGTTCTTCAAGGGTAACACTTTTGCTTTATTTTCTCCAATCTTGCACTAGCTTTTAGCCTGCTTTGCATGTTGTTTTAGACTTTGTGTATAACTTGAAAAAGTCTTGTATTTCTTTTGCTTTATTTTCTCCAATCTTGCACTAGCTTTTAGCCTACTTTGCATGTTGTTTTAGACTTTGTGTATAACTTGAAAAAGTCTTGTATTTTCATGTTTAAGATCTTTCATTAAGGTCATTTTGTTGTTTGGGGTCGACCTCTCCCTCTTAGGCCTTGTTTGGCCTTTTTTGTGCTCCCTTTGTTAAGCTTTGAATACTATTGTGTTTTGGTCTTCTCACCACTGAAATCCAGTGGATTTTCAGTGGTGATGAAGAGGGTTTGAGGTCTTGTATAGGGGAGGGACACCCCTCTCTGTTTGTCTCTCTTTTGTTTACATTTTTGGCTCATAATGGTAGCATGCATGATTAGTTGTTCTTGACTCCATTTCAGAAGTTTTTGGGTATTATTTGGGCATATCTTAACTCTGTTTTTGGTCAGATTAAAGGTCCCTTGCATGCATAATATACTTGCTTTGTACTCCCCCGTTTTGCCTAGAAGTGCATCACGCATTTAGCCTACTATGCTCTCATGTTTTGGCCTAACTTTGTGAAGTTCTTAGCCATGTCTTACCATGCTTAAGGTCTGTTGGGAGCTTATTTGATCATATTTACCATGTTTGGTGTAGCCCCTTTGTATTTTGGCTTGTGAACCTTGAGTGTGTGAGTCATTAGCATGCTTTAGTTGGGTTGTTTCAATGATTTGGAGTCATTTCTCATGTCATTTCAGCGCCTAATCCATGCTTGTATGCCTACATTCATCATCCCTTTCATGCCTTGAAGTGTTGTTCTTTTATGCCTTGAAATAGGTCTTAATGCATGCCTCTTGGTTTAAGGCTTTAGGCTGCCATATCAGTGGGTTTTGGGGGCTTATTTTGCATGTTGAAACTCTGTTTTTGGTTGTGTAGCCCATGCCATGAGTGGTCGAGGTGGTTGTGGTACAATGCCCTCTTGTTGATCTTGAATCCACTTTTGTTTTGCATCCATTCCTTAGCATGATTTGACCATGATCTATGCATACTTCAGTCTTGTTTTGGAATGCTAAGGGACTGTTTTAAGCCATTTTGGTCTGGTGGGGTTTGGTTGGTATAGCTATGATTTGGACCCCTTTGCTAGCTTCAAGATTTGGGCCCTATTGCATGCCTTGCTTGCATATTTCGTTGGATTTGGCATCATTCTTCATGCGATTTCAGAGCCTATTATAATGCCATGTTCTCATGCTTACTAACTCTCACTCGTGTTTGAAGGTTGGACATTGTGGTCTAGGTAATGGGCCAATTAGCATGCTTGAATGCTTTGCATTTTTTTGCCTTCACCTATTACTTAGGCCATTGTTTTGGGATGGACTGAGGTCCTCTCATTTCAGTATAAGTCCATCTTTGCATGCTTGCATGTTGCATTATATTGATTGCATGCTTACATTGTATCATTTTCGCATGATTACATGTTGTTTAGCTAATGGCATTACATAGTCTTGTTGTATGCTTGATATGTCCATATTGCATTAGTCTAGCTTGCATGGTTAGATAGTGTCATGTTGCATTAGCTTAGCATGTTCATACTGCCTTGCATGAGTTGCATCACTTTGCATTGTATATTGCCTCCATGCATTGCATTTTTGCTTGGTTTGGGGTGTCAAACCAAGCATGAGGATTGAGGAGTGTTCGTACTTGGAGTGACGAAACACGTCTCAATCCTCAGTCGCCAATACCCTTGACCTCAACATGACAGGGGATTAACACTCATTTGTTTTGTTTGCATGCATTTACATTAAATGGCAAACTTGGCCTCTTAGGCCATCATGCATCGAAATGCGCAATTGATAGCCCGAGGGCCACACTCCCTTGAATCCATTACATGATTGGGAGAGTGGCCATGCACACATTTGCTTGAAAATTCTATGCCATACACTGCTTGCCCTCTGTTGTTGTCAACTGCAGGATTATGTAGAAAGAAATGGCCGATCGGCCCCATACAGTGCCGACCGGCCACCAAAGTCCAGCCGGTGGCATAATATCTGGCCGATAAACCCATTTCCATGGCCGGTGAACCTGACTTGTGGCCGGTGGTACTCCAAAGCACTCAGAAGGAAGCTCAAAGCAATTCTGGAGACTTTCATAATTTTCAGAGGGGTGAGGCAGCGTAAACAGAGGCAACAGTGGCATGGTACGGGTTTCCGGGCGAGACGGATCGAACATGCATCATCCACGCATCCCAAGGCAGGGCTGCGGCCATCTCTCTTCTGCATTTAATTTATTAATTAATTAGAAGTTCTGTAATAATTAATTTAGTAGTATTCATTTGGTTGTGTAATATTTATTTGGACTCTCCGAGCAAGGGCAATTGTGTAATAAGTGTGTGTGAGTGTGTGTATGTCTTCCAACCCCATGTCTTTTCTCCTCTTTTGTTTACCTGCTTTCAATGGTTAGTATTAGGGCATATTTAAATTAGCATACTTTATGTTATACATGCGTGCATTCATACATTTGTCTTGCATACACCGAGCTCGGCGCATCATGTTAACTGCATTGTATTTCAATTCCAAATTGAATACGTGTTACCTGTTGCATTTCACATGCCATATTTAGGATAGCCGAGCCTGTCTAGATTGCATCTTTGCATGTGTTGCATTAGCCATTTTAAACATGAACTAGGATCATGCATATGATTACTAACTAGTTTCTGTTTTGGCTTGGAGTACTCGGTAAGCATTCATGTTTTAGCATTCTTGCATAAGTGTAAGTGTTGCTATGATAGCATGCTTACCATGAAGCTATATGCTTACGTGTTATAACTGCCTGAATGCCTGTGGGTGAAGGTTAGGTTACTTAAATTGGAACAATGCATTGAATGCAAGTTTTAAGCCCACTTTAGGGTGGCAAAAATGCATGTCTTAGCCTACTTGTGGGTAGCACCATCAAACCATCTTCCAATAAATAAACATGACATGTTTCGTTACAATTTAGACGACTTAGTCTATACTTGTTTGCTGTACGCATCACGTAGTAAATCCAGGCTAATAACCGAAATAAGAACACATAACGTTTTCAAAACTAGATATCATGGTTAGTAGAGGCCGATCTTCGGATCGGGCGAACGGAGGTGCTCATAGCTGACATTCCCCAATCGTACCCAAGTTCCTGAGCCGAGGCAACTTTGGTGATGACGGACACGTGGCCTTAGGCAAACGAGTCAAGGTTTCCTAAATTTCCTCAAAATAAAATATTTAGGTGGGGACTCTATATCTGGCAAAGCAGTCAATGTTTGGCACTTCTTTACAAAAATCTGTTTTCTAAAACGATTTGCCGGATTTGGACTCTTTGGTTCAGATTAAGAACCGTGACAATTGAGAGTCCGAACTGTAATGACCCACAAACGAACAGAACGGGACTCATCCTCCTGGGGCGTTCGGGGACGTCTACAACAGCTTTATGGACAAAGTTTTAAACTGCTTCCGTTTGGCCCCATTAACTCTGTTAAAATACGTTTGGTTTGGTTTGAGGCCGTAGGTAATCTCATGATTACTGCCCAGTTATGTCCTTAACCCACAGGGGCGGGTTCGGGTCATGACAATGTCCATCATTGTTTTTGATTAACAGCTTTTACTATAAACATATTAATTTACGGTTATACCTTTAGATTTTTTAAACTTTTTTTGTTTGTTTTTTTGAAAATAGAAAAAGAACCAAAATAGACTATGGACTAAATTTTTATTATTTTATTTATGAAAAATGTCAACTAGTAGTGAATAACAAAAAAAAAAAATTAATTCAATTTACAATTAAAGGGGTAAAAATGTATTTTTGCATTAAAAAATTATTCCATAACTTATTTATCAAATACTATTTAACAATTTAAATCTATAATGTGGTAACTACGCTAAATAAATTAACAATTTTTAATTACAATTATGATTTATAATTTATTTTAACCATTACACCAAACATCCCATTGCCAGTGTTCTTATCCGAACTGAAGCCCCGCCAGATAAAAGAAGGTACCGAGAGAGAGAGAGAGAGAGAGAGAGGAGTACAATTGATTTAGACAAGTGAACGAACTTTTGTCCGTCAC